TAGCCCCCTTTTACAGATGAGGAATCTGAAGGCCACTGAGGTTGAACATCTTGTCCAAAGCCACACAGTGAGTAAGTGGCAGAACTGGCCAGACACTCGCACATCTGAACCCACCTCTCCTGCAGGTTCTCTGCATATTCCCAGGGACAGGTGCTTTCTGTTCCTTTCCTGCCTTTTTCCAGAACAAAACCATGTTATCCCAACTGGCAGGCTGGGCTCCCCAGGGCTCTTATCTCGCACCAACAAAGCCCTTCCCTGTTGAATGGGTCACCGGCATTTTGCTGAATAGATGCCAGCGTGGGAGGGCCACAGATAAGCCAGCGGTGGTGTGTGTTGCCATCTCCTTGATGGTTTGCTCTGAATTCAGATCTGTTCATTTATCTAAGATGAAAGGGGAGAGGCTGCTGGTAAGTGGGGGACTACAGAATGAGGCAGTGATGATTCTGGAACGGGAGACAGGACATGGGCGCTTCTGACGGAGTGAATGCCCAGGGAGCGAGGGAGGTGTGTGTGCTGACTTACAGGAGTTCCTAGAACAGCCCTGTGTGTGACTGTGTGAGGCTTCCCCTTCTTTCCCGCCCCACATACTTAACCCCACAGCAGACGTTCCCACAGAATGTGGTTCCCACTCAGCCACTGCAATTCCACAACAGGGACAGTGGTGATGACTTTTTAGCATCTATGTTTTAAGTAAAAAGGGCCCCTTGAGAGCTGACCAGATATACCAACTGCTTTGCTGGCCTTTTAAAAACTTAGGGTCTTGTCGACCTCCTGGTAGTGATATTGTTCTAAAGTCGGGCAGGATGTTACCCCTGGGGGACCCTGGGTACAGGGTCTGAGGAGCTCACTGTATCATTTCCTACAACTGCATGCATATCTACAATTACCTCAAAACAAAAGTTGTAAGAAGCCAGGGTTCTTTAAATGCCACAAATTCCAGGGGAGCAGCCTGTTTGCTCCGTGTCTAACACCTTGCAATATCCAGTAAACAGAAAATAGGATTCCAGAACCACTCAAGGCAATAGAAAGGAATGAAATGCTGACACACGCTACAACATGGACAGATCTTGAAAACATGATGCTAAGTGAGGGGAGCCAGACACAAAAGACCACATCTTGTATGATTCCATTTGTATGAAATTTCCTGAACAGGCAAATCTATAGTCAGAAAGCAAATCAGTGGTTGCCTGCAGCCGAGACTGGCAGGGCCAGGAGGGCCCAGAGAGGACTGCTCATGGGTCGGCACTTCCTCTTTGGGTAATTCCCCTTTTGTGGGTGATGCTCTACAAATAGATGGTGGTGGTGGTTGCACAACTCTGTGACTAGACTGAACACCGTTGAATGGTTCCGTGTAAATGGGTGAATTGTATAGTGTGGGAGTTATATCTCAATAAAGCTGTTAGAAATTTAGGGTCTTTTGACAGTTTTAAGAGAAGTAATCACAGTCCTTTGGAAATAGCTGGTGTCTTCTAGATAAAAGCACTTCTGCACACTGGTTGTCACGCCTGAATTCAGGCCACGGTCCTGGGGCAGGTTGATGGCTCCCTCATAAACCTGATTCGGGCTTGCTGCCGACACCTCAGTGGCGTTTCCCATTGCTCACCCGGGGCATGAAAACGGTGGCAGCCGTTTGCCAGGTGCTTTTACCTCTTGCCGCCCTGCACACCAGGTGGCTCATGCCCGTGCTTTATATACGAAGAAATAGAGTTCCCAGAGACGATGTGTGCAGCAGGAGAGTGCTGCAGCAAGAACCCGAATTGAACTCGGGCCCATTGAACCCAAGTCTGTGTTCTGTTCACTGCTGGGGGCTGGGTGGGGGGTGGGGGGAGGAGGCTGGGCTGGCGAGCTTTCCCTCGCGTCTTACAGGAGTGGGAGGAGTCAGCTGCAAGGCAGAAGCCGTGCTCATAGGGACAGATAGCCTAGAAGTCACCCGAGGGAAGGCAATGGGGATCTGCTCCCTCCGGCAGTGAGCATGACCTTCCGCCCCGTTCCCGGGCCAGCTCTTCCCAGGAGAGCTTCTACGGAAGGATGACTGTGGGAAAACATGTGGGAGCTTTTCGTGGACACGTTTCTTGAGTGTCATGAGCTCCCGGAGGAAATGTGTTTGTTCCCCTGAAGCCCTCAGCTTTATCTGTCCTGAGTTTTCAGGGGTTCACAACTACTGGGGTGTTTGTGGACACGGCGGGAAGCCACAGTATGACAGCCAGGGAACCGCGCTGTGTTTGTAAGGGATAATGCTGCTGTGTGCAGTAAAACGGGCACAAGTGAATAGAGGTGCAGGAGAAGTAAATGGGAAACCACCTCCCCTTAGTGATGTTCAGGTGGTTGGAGGCGGACTCGTTAGCTCCCAGGGAGCTTATTAAAAATGCACATTCTCAGGTCCCAGCCCAGACCCACAGAACCTGAAACCCTGGGGTGATGGCCAGGGACCTGTGCTTTAATAAGCTCTCGAGGTAACTTTCATATACCCTGGAGTTTGAGGATGTTCTTACACACTCTTGAGGTTGAACAGGAAAATCCGGATGTGTTCCCAGGAGAACACTTCCTTCTGTGTTTGACCTGGTCTTGCAGGGTTGGGGGAACAGTCCTTCATTTGCTGAAAACATTTGTTGAGCACTTACTGTATCCAAGCACGTATTCCCTGCTGTGATGCGTGTGGAACCTCGTGAGGGCAGTGAGATAGTAAATTATGGAAACTGCCTGCAAATGGGATGCGGCCCTGGGATGGTGACATTTAGCCCCATGAAGAGGAGGAGATGCCTGACTAAAGAGCAACAGAATGGATTTCCGGAGAGAGTACTGATTGCGCAAAGGCCTGGAGCTTGGGAGGGGTTGAACTGGTCAGGGGCTAAAAAACAGCTGGGGTGGCCTGATGGTGGAGAGCCGGGGGCAGGTGGCAGACAGAAGGGAGGGATGGGGGTGGGGGGATGAGCCAGGACTGGATGCACAGGGCCCAGGGAAGAGCTTGAATGTTTACTCTGAAGATGGTGGCCAGTTTCTGAAGGATTTAATCAGGGAATGATAGGACCTGAGGAAAGGTTTAGGAGCCTTCTGGCTGCTTAGGAAGAGTGATTTGGAGGAAGGATAGAGATCAAGCCAGGGGTGTGGGGCGTGACTAGGGAGATTCTGTCCAAACTGCTCTCCGCCCTCCTTCCCAAGCAGGGAAACACAAGAACAGGTACTGGAATTGTTTTGTCAGGGTTTCTGTTAGCATTTTACAGATGGAACGATTGTATTAGAAGTGCACACATCCTCATTGCTTTCATTAGATATCATTGTATTACAGTCCCAGCTATGTATGTACCCATTTAATTGCATATACTACTACTTATAAAAAGTAAATATTGTCAAAAGAAAATTCAGCTTAGATGCCCACATTTTTTTATAGTTCTTTATGGTTGAAAGTATTACCTTTGTCCCCCTTTTCCCACCATTGACCCCTCCAGCCCGCCCCCGCCCCAGGCTGCCCACATTTTGAGACATACAGAGCCAAGCTCAGTTGATTCCAATTTAGCAGCATCTGCAAGATTTGATCCATTTCAGAAATCTGAGCTCACTAGCATTGCTTGGGCTGGCATTTTCTTAGCTGAGAACTGCTTACCTGGGTGTAGAAAATCTGATATTTTATTTAGAAGAATGATTCATTGCTTAAGGGCGTCAAGAGTCCTGGGCTTTATCTTCTTTGCTGCACAAGTTTGATTTGACCTTGGACAAGTCATTTCATTTTGAAATTTAGTGTGTCTGTGTGGAAGATGAGGAATAATAGATCTGGTAAACTTCCTGTTGCCGTGTTAACTGGGTGAAAGCTCTCCAACACCTAGGAAACACAACATGTGCAAGGGCCCCATGGCAGAAGGGAGCGGCTGATATTTTAGGAAGTGAGAACAGCGTGGGAAGGGACGATGCTCCAAGACGATGTGGGGGAGGCAGTCATGGGCCGAGCTGGGGAGGAGCATGCAGACCTGATTGGGGACTTTAGTCTTTATCTGAAGAGCAAGAGCAGTGGTTCTCAACCTTCCTAATGCCACGACCCTTTAATACAGTTCCTCATGTTGTGGTGACCCCCAATTTCATTGTTTCAAATTGAACATAAAGCATAGTGATTAATCACAAAAACAATATGTAATTATATATGTGTTTTCCGATGGTCTTAGGTGACCCCTGTAAAAGGGTTGTTCGACCCCCAAAGGAGTCGCGACCCACAGATTGAGAACCGCTGAGCAAGAGGAAGCCATTGGCAGATTTAAATAGGGGAGTGACTTAAGGTTGATACGCTGTCTCAATTAATCTTCACAGCAAATGTGTATGGTACGCAATACCCCTATTTTAAACCCGCACAGAAACCTGGGGTAGTGGAGGTTAAGTAGCTTACCCAAAACCTCAGGTCAGCTTGACTCCAGAGTCCTCTGTCTCCATATCAGCCGAGCTCAATAATAATATAACAATGACCACAGTTTTAAAACACTTTGAACTCTTATGATGAAAGCTCTCCCTTAATTTACAAAGTGGTATTATGCTGCAGAAATACGAGCGGTGATGAGAGAGTGGATATGCTGGGGATCTTTTAAAAGGCTCTGTCTGTGTGGCTGGGGTCCAGCAACTTCAAGTGCCTGGCTGTCTGGTGGGGGCGTCTCACAAGCAGCTATTAACACAAGGAAGGGTTTGGCAGCTCGGGCTGGCCATTTGACACTGCCATTGTCCATAATGACTCATTGTCCAAGAAATGTGCCCAAGGTGTGTCCTTTCAGGGGCTTTGAGCTGGGAAATCAGATCTGGGCAGTTCATGCGTGGTTTCACTGGACTGACCATGCCATGCCAAGTTTCTGCTTTCTCCCTCTTGGGTAGTCAACTGGTTTAAGTGGGTTCTTAGAAGCTGATTGTAGAGATCACCATCTCGACTTTGAAACCAAGAAGGCTTGTTCAGGGTTGACATGGGAAAACAGCTGTTGGCCTGTGGCCCTGGAGGCTTTTGTTGATGATAAATATCTGTTCTTTTCTAGTTGACCATGTCGTGCCAGAGCCTGGGACAAGCCTGCTGGCTGCCTTCGACCAGTGGAGGGAATGGGCCGACAGCAAGTCCTGCTGTGACTACTCTCTGCACGTGGACATCACCGAGTGGCACAAGGGCATCCAAGAGGAGATGGAGGCCCTGGTGAAGGATCATGGTAGGTTGTGTTGACCCAGCACCCTCAGGTCATGAACTGGCACAGCCCTGCGGAGACAAGCTCTGTGAATGGTACTTAATAGATCCCTTTTGGGCCTCACCCCGTGCCTCTGAGGAGACAGGGCTTTGGCTGCAGCTCATGCTGATTGGAGGTGGCCAAACCCACGGCAGCCAAAGAAGTTTTCATTGATATGAGAACCTGATCCTTATTCCAGGGACCTGCTCTTATGTAACAACTGCTTGCATGTTATTGGTTTGAGGGAACCATGTGCCCAAGCCAGGTTGGGGAGTTGAGGCTATGAGAGTGATGAGCCAGTGAGGATTCTGGGCAGTCGCAGGAGAGTGCCTGGGACTGGGGTAGAGGACTAGAGCAGCTTCTTCCTGCAAATCCAGAAGAACCAGGACAGACTTGAGGGTGAGGTGGCCGTGGGACAACCTGAGGGGTCTGTTGATCCCTAAGACTATTTTGGGGAGCAGGATTCCAAGGATGGGGTTCTGAAAGATTTCCAGGGAGGCTGGAGGGATCTTGACTACCTCAATATGCCCCTGGGACCCTGTTATCCACAGGAAGCTTGGGGTTTTGGGTGGTGTTGCCAAATTATATAGTCTTATAGGGACCCCTTAAACTTGGCTGTAGACTAGATTCGACTCCTGGGTCACATGTAGACCTCATTGGATCTTAACTGTTGGGGAAGAACCTATTGCTTTCGGGTTTGGAGATTTCTAAGCTCCGAAGTTCCATGAGCTGTGAATAAAATGGCAGGAGGGAAACTGCTAGACATAGATATGGTAGATATCCAGAGATATGGTAGAAGAAGCTCGAAATGGAAATCTAGAATCTTGTGTTTATTGCTTTGCTCTTCCACAAATTAGCTGTGTGACCTTGGGCAAATCACTTAAATTTTCTGAATCTCAATAAAAAAAAAAAACTCTCACAGGAGGGTTTGTACTAGATACCCTAAGATTCTTTCTACTATGAAGGCCCAGCATAAAAGGAAGTAGCTAACCCTTGATCTTTCTCACTTTTGAGAATGCCAAGATTTAACTTTTGATACTTATAAATGAATCCAGTCTAACTCAACCAAGAGAGTTACCATAACAACTGTTGCCTGGCAACAGAGAAGGGCTGAGATGTCCTGAGCCTTGAATTTAGGCAGCTCACAGCACTGTCGCCAGCACCCCTGGGTTAAGCTCCAAGGCTATGAGGTTGTCAATACCGTTGTTTACCATCTGGGCAGGGATATCTGTTCTCGCACTAGGGAGGCAAGAACTCTAAAATACCAGGATGACAACTGCAACATATGCTTGTCACACTCACGGACCTTTTCTTAAAGTCAGCATGGAGGGCAGTCTGTTTACCACAGAAAAGACTTTTATTATAGATCTTCACCAATAAGGTCTTCTATTTCATTGCCTTGTTAAAGTCACAAAAGTTGGGAAAACTTATTAACTTAATTGCGGTAAAACACAGCATAACATAAAATTTACCACCTTCACCATGGTAAATGTACTGTTTGTGGCATTAAGTACATTTACATTGTTGAGCAACCATCCCCACTACCCTCCCCTGGAACTTTTCACCTTTCCAAATGGAAACTCTCTCCTCATTAAACAATAATTCCCCATTCTCCCTCCCCCCAGCCCTTGGCAACCCCCATTTTCTGCCATTCTACTTCCTGTCTCTATGAATTTGACATATCAGTGGAATCCTGCAGTATTTGTCTTTTTGTGACTGGCTTATTTCACTGAGCATAATACCCTCAGGGTTGATCCATGTTTGTGGCATGTGTCAGAATGTTACGGGAAAAGGGACCGGCCCAGACTGGGTCTGCCTCAGGCGCTGGTAGTGTGTGGGTTCTTGACTTTGTGCAAAAAAGATTTCACAACAGGACTCCAGGTGATTGTGAGAGTATGTTTATTAACTCTGGGGACAGTGAAACAAGGAAAGGTTTAGAATAGAAGAAGCAACAGGAGGGAGCCTGTGCGGGGCTGCTTCGATTCTCTAAAAATGTTACAGGAAAGAAATGAGCTGAGGTGGGGCTGCAATCAGCTCACTGCAGTCACAGAAAAGGGGGCCTTGGGGACAGGTTCAGGGGGTTAACCCGGGATGAGCTGCCACTGCCCATTGCTCCCCTGGTTGCAAATCTCTTGGGGACTCTTAGAGTTTAGGAGATGCACGCCTGTGGGGAGGTAGAGGAGGAAGGTACTCCCAGGGGGCGGGCTGGCTCCTTTGTTTTGAGGGTTTAGGGCAGATCTTAGGGGAAGATCTCAATAAAATATTCATCAGCTTTTCCAGGTGTGCTCTGTCCTGGCCTCCCCTGGTTGGCCAGTGCCAGGACAGGGGTCATTAGTCATTGCAGCTGGTCCTGGTGTCACCCACCTGGTTTTGCTGCTTTTCTGGGCCTGGAGCTGACATACAACTAAGACCTAGGTGTTGTCTTTAGAAAGTGACCTTCTGTGTCTGCTCGGAATTGCTCGGCCAGTTTGTTCAGCCGTGTGTCGTGTCCCCACTTTACTTGCCAAGGAGTTTTCCTAGCTTCTTACTATCCCGCTTGAGCCTGAGTAATAGTCCATGAGATGGCTGTGCCACATTGTGTTTATCCATTCATCTGTCAGGGGACACTCGGGTTGCTTCACTCGTTGGTATTGGAATAATGCTGTGTGTGTATGGGTGTACAAATGACAGCAACTTTTAGTTTTGGTAGAGTTTTAAACTTAGAGGAAAATTGTAAGAATACTAAAAAGAACTTCCCACCTTATTCCCAGGTTTACCAGTTGTTTATATTTTGCCTCATTTGCTTTATCATTCTCTCTGTGTCTCCATCTGTCTCTCTTTCTCTCTGCATGAGGCGGCGGGGGGGGGGGGGGGCAGGGGGGGGGGGGGCAAAAGTAGGTTTCCAGTTGTGAGTACAGCATACACAGAGTTAACAAGCTATTGTAATAATGTAATAATCATATCCTGTATGTCTTTTTCCATACCCACCACTGTGAACCTACTTTTGCCTACACTGTATATATACACATACACATAATATTGTAACTTTTTTATTCCCTTCCAGATTATTTGGATGGCCTGTTATAGTTATGCATTTTGTCTGTCTATTTTGTCTGTCCTCCAGGGGTAAATTCCTTCCTCGTGTACATGGCTTTCAAAGATCGCTTCCAGCTGACGGATTCCCAGGTAAGAAACGTGGGCTTTTCTGAGCAGTTCACTGGCATTCGGTACATTTGGCCACGGCTGTGGTCTTGAAAGCTGCCTCGAGTGTATGCACATCCCTTAGCTTCAGGGGAAATGGCTGGTGGATCAAGTCCTGGCTCTAACTTCACCTTTAGGGAGCTGTGAACCAGGACTGTGTTCTCCCCGGCTCTGCAGTCAGCACGCCGAGGGGCCGCGTGGCTGAGGGTGTGCGCAGAGCCTGGCGTCCCTCTGAGCTTCTTACTCCCAGTTCACATCCTGTTCCGTTACTCTGCCTCTGCTAATTACTGGAGGTTCCGCTCTGCCACACGCGGCCAGAAGCATGGCCTCCGGGTCTGCAAACACACCAGCTTGTAGAAGCCTGAGGAGATGGGTGCTGTTTCTGGCCCCTGTGGCCGTCAGGGACAGGGTTGTGCTGGTGAACAGGAAGCTGGAGGTCCCTGTCTCTGACCCCAACTCCCTCCTCAGATCTATGAAGTCCTGAGCGTGATCCGGGACATTGGTGCCATCGCCCAAGTCCACGCAGAGAACGGCGACATCATTGCGGAGGTACTGTGCCTTCCTCTCCGTCATTTCTTTCTGCATGAGCCCCATGGCCAGAGGCGGGCTTGAGAAGTGATGAGTTCTGTAGTTCAGCCCCAGGAGGAGAAGCAGGGGACCTGATGGAGCCATCCTGGGTGCTGTGCTCGTCTCACACAGCGCGTGCCATGGGCGCCTCGTGGTGTGTTCCGTAGGACGCACAGCCTGCTCCCTTTCCACAGACACGGGGATTCTCTCGGTGCTGGGATGCAGCTGTCTGTGTGGGGTGGCCCTGGACCCCCACGTGCAGACATTTTGCCCTTAGCATCCCAGGGAGCAGCTGCGTGCATTCGGGAGGCTGTGATTGGCTTGTCATAGCTCAGGCAGGACTGGGAATCGGGTAGTGTTGGCATGAGGGCCAGGTGGTCAGCAGCGCCATTTTTACGTCTTGCCTGAGTAACTGCCCAGGGTCCCTAGCAGTCAGAGCCACCTGCAGTCCCACACAGAGACACACACATGCACATGCACACACGGCAATCCCTGACAGCCTGGCTTTCTTTAAACATTGCAGGAGCAGCAGCGGATCCTGGACCTGGGCATCACGGGCCCTGAGGGACACGTGCTGAGCCGGCCTGAGGAGGTGAGCACCTGCTGAATGCAGTGGAGGTCCCGCGTGTCCCTGGGCTGCCAGAGCCGGCACACCTCCTGCCTGCAGAGCTGGGGCTTCTGCGAGGCTGTTTTGGTCATGGACGTCTCAGGTTACCCGTGTGTGTCCACTCAGGCAAAGTGCAGGGGGAGACTGAGCCGAGGCGTAGAGCAGTGTGGCTTTTTAGCCTGAAGACTCCTTTCTCCGCTTGGATTCTCCAGCCCTTTCTTGGGGGACACAAAGCTTTTAATCAGCGTCCTGCAGTCTGGGTTTCGTGGTTCAGATCTTGGGGCCTCTGGAATCTCACCAGTCACCAAGCATTAGTCACGGGGATCTAAAGCTCCTCTAAAGTATCGAGAAAGCCTAAAAAGAACTGTGTGTTTCCCATGGCAAGTCTGCCCAGGGTGACCAGCAGGTTGACCAGCAGGTTGGTAGGCCGAGTTTTTCAAAGTAGGGGCGGGGAATGAAGAGCAGGGGCCCCGCTGGCACCAAGGCTGAGAGTTGCTGACTTGGATGGTGAGGCTTGTAAGTTACCGGGAGAGGGGCGGGGGCACATCGTACCCCTATCCGATGCAGAACCGGTTTCTGTAAAGGTAGAGTGTGTGGCTTGTCAGTCCTTCTCAGGAGTTGGCTCCTGAATGAAAGCTTCAGGGTCAGGTGTTTGAGGACCTGGCTCTGAGCAAAGGGAGTTCTGGGGAGTCTCCTGGAAATGAACAGACTTCCTCTTTACTGGAGATTAGATGGGAAAGGGACGGGTGCAGAGAAAGGCAGATAAAATCAACAGGAAACTGGATATTGGCATAAATTTGGATTTTACCTCCAGAAACAGGTGGAGAGAAGCTTGACAAGAGGAGTATGAATGGGAGCAGGGCCCCCAAATCTCAGAACTTTAGAACTGGGGTGTTCCCGCTGAGTATGGGGAGTGTGCACGTGAGGGCCCGTGGGTGCCCCCCCCCCAGAATGAAAAGGGATTCTCAAGGGCTGGATCAAAGGTGCTGGTGTGCGTGGGGGGAGGCGGCACGGCACCCACAGCCTTTTTCTCTCAGGCGTGGGGAAGGAGTGAGGCTGGAAAGGCACAAAGGATGAAGGCAGAAAAGGTGAAGGTGGAAGCCACTTAGAATGTGAATGCTTCCACTTCCTTGTTTTGCCCTTCCTACTGCAAACTCACAGTCACACACAAAGACACACACATAGATACAGACACACACACAGATACACACACAGAGACACAGAATCACACACAGACAGGTGGAGACGGACATAGTCACAGACACACAGACGCACACACACCAGGACACCTTCAGCACTGAGGCCCTGAGGACATTTTCCTCCCCACATGAAGGCGGAAGCTGTTGGAATTTTCAGTGTAGTGTTCTCCTCCCCAGGCCGTGGGATAGAGGGCCTTTCCTAACCATCCAACCTGCCCAGGTGTGCTGAAAGCTGAAGGCGTGAGCTGGAGCTGTCACGAGGGCGAGGGAGGCTGCAGGTGACCTCTTGAGGCCCCTGCATTAGCTGTGGGAGCCCTGTGCTGTGACTGGCTGGTGGACAGGATTCGGGAGGAGAGAGGGAGACAGTAGCTGAGACCGTCTCAGTAGCTGATGCTAAGAGCACCTGAGGCTAGGCTGGTTTTATGCACAAGCATGCACACATACACTTGTTCAGATACAAGTGCACACATGTACACATGCACGCTCATGTACACATGTACACACACATTGACACATTGCAAAATACATAGGCACATTTACACACATATACACACATGCGTAGAAACAATCCCACTTGCACAGACATCCTGAAGATTCCTGTCTGTGGCTTTGTTTCTCTTCTCAGCTGGCCTCGGTGACCGTTGTAATCAAATTCTCTGTTGGGGAGGGAAGGATGGCATAGGCCACGGTGGCCCTCAGCTCCATCCTCCTTAGAATTGGTTGGGCCTGCATTCGGTCCTAAACAGTTTTGGGGTGAGGTCTCTGAGCTGCAAGGCCCAGGAGAGGCCCAGGATGGCATGGCTCTCGTGGTGCTGTCTTTCCCTCAGAAGCCCCATTCAGAGACAGCACTTACTGAGTCCCCAGAGGTACCAGACCCCGTCGTAACAGTTCACGTTTAAGCTTGATGGTGGTTCTGTGAGAGGCACAAAGACCCTCCTCACACAACTGCAGGGGCGCCGTTCATGCAGACTGCACAGCGTTATCCAGGGAACCCATTCATATTCCACTGCTTGTGTGCGGCAGAGCCTTTGTGAGCTACGTGTCTCATATAAAGACACCACGGTGGTGGGATGTTGTGGCTGCCCCATGTCAGAGAGCAGGAAGATGCAGTGTCTGCCTGCTCCCCACAACATTCTCCTGTTCTGCACCAACCCCCAGCCGTGCCTGCGGAGCCCCAGCTCAGCCTCGAGCCAGTGGGCCCTTGTCACCAGGTGGTGACACCTGGGCTGGGCTTGGTTACACAGTTTCCTCTCACCCCCATCCCACTGGTTGGCTGCAGAGCTGCTCCCACCCTGTCCCAACTACCTGTGCAGGTGGCAGGAAGGTGCTGGCCCTGAGAGAGCACGCCGCTCTCCCTGTTCCAGGAGGCCATTCTGGGAGCCCTGCGCTTGTTTAAATTGAGAGTCTTGGTGGGGCTTGCTTCCCCTTCTCCCTGCTGTCTGCTCTGCATCCCCAGATCCCTGCAAACCCCAATCAGAACTCGAAGCCCGCCCTGGGTTCACTGGACAGGCCGGAGCTACCGGAGGAGCGCTGTTCCGGTTGCCATTTTGACCACAAAATCAAGGCCATTGTCCTGGTTGGTGCAGAGACGTCTCTTGTAGCAGCTGCTGCTTTGAGTGTTTCAGAGTCCACAGCAGTGGGGCGCGAAGGCTTTTTTGGGGGCTGGCAGAACGCTCCGACACGAGGAGCTCTTGGCTCCTTGGGGCGACCTCTCATCTCCCGAGGGGTTGCTGTTGGAGGCTTTCTTCTGCCTGCTCTTCTCAGCGGGTTCAGAGGCCCTGCCCTCTGCCAGGCCCAGGACTGGTGCTCCCTTAGGACAGCTGCCAGCACGTCCCACGCCTTCTCCCTCCGCTACTGGTGGCAATTTTCAGTTTGTCGCCAGGGGTCTGTTGTGTGTTAAGCCCGACATGAGCGATAAAATGTGGAGCCATTCTGAGGGGACTGAGCTTCATGCACAGTTCAGCTGGGGCGACGCTGCCCATCCATCGGACATAGCGGCTCAGAGCCTACGAGAATGTCGCTCCGCAAGTCCGTGACCTGCGCTGGACGCCCAGAGCGGTCCCTGCCTCTGCCGCTCGCCCCGCCACCCAGGGAGGCTGCCAGCACAGCTGGCCGTTTGCAGCGGGGAAGATTGGAAGGGAGACGCAGAGAATGCAGAAATCTAGTATCCACCAAAGGTGTCCCAGCACGGAGTAGGAGTAGGACTGCGGCCCGTGGGGGCAGCGAGATGAAGGAGAACGTGACCCCTGTGAAAGGGGGGAAGAGGGAAAGACTGGCTCTGGGAAGAGAGTGGGGCTCGGAGGTGAGGGTGATGAAGAATTCTTTACTGAAAGGAACTTTCTAACGGCCTTGTGGGCTACGCAGACAGCTGGGGACTGAGCCATGAAGGGCATGCTGGCACTGACCTGTGTGTCCTGGGGCTGGTGTGTGTATTAACACTGTTGTGTGTGCTGACACCGTGTCCTGGGGCTGGTGTGTGTATTAACACTGTTGTGTGTGCTGACACTGTGTCCTGGGGCTGGTGTGTGTATTAACACTGTTGTGTGTGCTGACACTGTGTCCTGGGGCTGGTGTGTGTATTAACACTGCTGTGTGTGCTGACACCGTGTCCTGGGGCTGGTGTGTGTATTAACACTGTTGTGTGTGCTGACACTGTGTGTCCTGGGGCTGGTGTGTGTATTAACACTGTTGTGTGTGCTGACACTGTGTGTCCTGGGGCTGATGTGTGTATGAACACTGTTGTGTGTGCTGACACTGTGTCCCGGGAACGGGTGTGTGTATTAACACTGTTGTGTGTGCTGACACTGTGTGTCCTGACACTGTGTCCTGGGGCTGGTGTGTGTATGAACCCTGTTGTGTGTACTGACCTGTGACCTGTGTGTCCTGGGGCTGTTGTGTGTGTTAACACTGTTGTGTGTACTGATCTGTGTGTCCTGGGGCTGATGTGTGTGTATTAACACTGTTGTGTGTACTGATCTGTGTGTCCTGGGGCTGATGTGTGTGTATTAACACTGTTGTGTGTGCTGACACTGTGTCCTGGGATGGTGTGTGTATTAACACTGCTGTGTGTACTGACACTGTGTCCTGGGCTGGTGTGTGTATTAACACTGCTGTGTGTACTGACACTGTGTCCTGGGGCTGGTGTATGTATTAACACTGCTGTGTGTACTGACACTGTGTTCCTATATAGTTTGCTTTTCTCTCTGGACCTAGGGATGTTGCATTTTTAAATTTTATTTTATTAATCCTCACCAGAGGATATCTTCTCCATTATTATTATTTTTTTTTTTTAAGAGAGAGCAGATGGAAGGGAGGAGGAGGAGAGAGAAACAGCAATTGGTTGTCTCTCCCATGTGGCCTGACCAGGGCAGGGGATTGAACCTGCAACCCAGGTACATGTTCTTGACCGGGAATCAAACCCGAGACCCTCTGGTATGCAGTTGACGCTCTAACCACTGAGCATGCTGGCCAGGGAGGCATACTCATTTTTAAAATCAGAAAGCAAGGCTAGTGACCCACCCAAATTCTGAGAGCTCTGTAGTGAGGCAAATAATAGTTTTTATTTCTAATTTTAATACTATTTTTGTAATGTTTTAAAGCAATAGTATTTAAAGCAGAGCTCGGTGTGTGTGAGACAGTTTATGCTGCATGTCAGGCACACAACTATACACATAGAAGGGTGAAATGTGGATTCTTTCATGGTTCTGGGCGCAGCCTGGGGACTTGTTTAAATGACCTTCTCTCTCCACGAGGTAATCTTGCAGTTTGGCCTCTGCCCTCATTCCAGGCCTGTGCGAGGGTCGGGAGGTGGGGTCAGAACCTCACAGCGGATGAGCAAATCCTGACGGGACCCTGGGACCCGGATTCTCCAAACCAAAGCCAGTCTTCCTGGAAGCCAGTCCTCTTGGGCAGGGCCCCAATAGAACTGGCGCTTTTGCTCCATTTACTCCCTAATTAGGATGATTACTCATTCCAGTGCACTCGGGACAGCCCAGTCCCCACCCATTGCTCCCTGCGGTTATGAATAGTGTCTCTGTTCACTTTCAAGTGTCTGGGTTGGGACAGTGAATTGGGAAGTCACTGGCACCCCCGGGAAGCGATGAGGATTCTAGGGGCGTCCTTTTTACTCTTTACTCTGCAGACATTTTTTTTTAAATACGCATTTTTAATGATTTCAGAGAGGAAGGGAGAGGGAGAGAGAGATAGAAACATCAATGATGAAAGAGAATCACTGATCAGCTGCTTCCTGCACACCCCCTTTTGCCCCCCCTCCCACTAGGGATGGAACCCGCGGGGACCTGGGCATGTGACCAGGAATCGAACCATGACCTCCTGGTTCATAGGTCGACGTTCAACCAATGAGCCACACCATCTGGGCTACTCTGCCGACTTGTGAGGTGACCACAGAGATGGAGGACATCTGTCCTGTGTGCTGCCTGGGCCAGAGGCACTTTGGTTGTAACTGGAGCCAAGGAGAAAGAGAGAGCTGATCGGTTAGCTATTCCAGGAATTAAAAACATTTGGATGTTTAATGAGCTTTTTCAAGAGCCATTTGGTTTGCCTTTAGATTTCTAGACATCTCTCTTCACATATTTGATGCCTGAAAGGCCAAATGTGAGTGTTGTCTTAGGTTATTAAATTAGATTACCAGTTAATGCAATTATAGAACTTCAGCTCTTGGCCAAGCTCCTGTGGAGGCTTGGTTAGCTCAGATGATTCAGTTAGGAGTTCAGTCATTTCTTGTGAAGGAAATCACAGCTCTTTATGGAACAGCCTCGCTTTAACCATGAACATAGAAGGAAGCCACTTATTTGTTCAGTAAACATTTTCAGGCACTTGTTGTGCACTGGGCATTACATTGGGAACGGCTGAGGGGGCAACGGAGGCTACAAAAAGCCGAGTAATGCCCGGCCCCTTGCCTCAAAGAGATAAAGCCACAGCCTTTTGCCCAGATTTGGGAGGGAATAAAAGCCTTTCTGACATCATTGTTTCACAGCTTTACTTGCTTTTTCAGTTGCCCTTTCTAAACGCATGGCTGATTCCTCTGTAAGATATAATTTGTTCTAAGTAGTCTTATCTGATCAGGTTTAGCAGTCGTCCCATGGGGTCTTTGAATTTTCATCCATTGAAGCATCAGGTTTAAAGCATCACGTTATTGATTAGAGCAGCTCTTTCCCTTCTTGTGCTGAAGGTCGTACCAGCCTGTGGCTGGCCACGGCCATGGTCCACACACACAGGGACTTTGGTTTGCACAGATGCTGCCTGCTCCATCCCCAGGGCCCTGTGAGGCCGCATTGTCCCTTTGTCAGTGCTGGCTTCCTCTGTGAGCATCGTACAGAAGCCCAGCACAAATGATCACATCAATGAGGGTCTTGACTCAAGACCACGCAGCTGGAATGAAGTACTAACATTGGGAGCAGTGTTTCTGTGCATGGTGGTCCTCAAATGTTAACAAGCATAAAAACCACTTCTAGTCTCACTACCAAGAGGTGCTGGCCCTGTGGGTGTGGGCGAGGCCCGAGAAGCTGCACATCTCCCAGGCTGCGGCTTTGCAGGCCTGTCCACCACACTCTGAACCCCTCAGAAGGGCCAGGAAGGGAGGCTGCTCACTCCAGTCAACATGGAGTGACACTGGCAGGTCACCTCTGGCGTGCCACTCAGGGTAGAGTCTTGAGGACACAGTGGTCTCCCAGGAACTTAGCCTTTTTGCAGGGTGGAGGGTGACGATGGGCTTGTGGAGTGGGCACGGTTCTCACATTCAGATGCTTTTCTGTAGGTCGAGGCTGAAGCCGTGAATCGTTCGATTACCATCGCCAACCAGACCAACTGCCCCCTGTACATCACCAAAGTGATGAGCAAGAGCGCGGCTGAAGTCATCGCCCAGGCCCGGAAAAAGGGTAGGTGCTGCTGGCTGCCTGACTGCCGGCCCGAGCAGGGCTCCTTTTCCAGACCCTCATGCCAAGTGGTCCGCTTTCACCACGTGCCAGCATTAACCTAATTACAGCTGAGCAAGGCAGGAGCTCCAGTTTCTCCCCTGCTCCACCGCGTGGCCTTCAGTACCTGTTTAAAGCCGTGCACCGCACCAGTGGGTGGGCAGGCACACTTCCCCCTGCCACCCCCTCCTCTGGGAAGGTTGGATTAATTCGATGCAGTCTAGATAAACTAGGCACGTACACAGATGGCATCACTTTCCATCCGCAGCAGCAGCACCCTTCTGGGCAACTTTCTATTGCAAAATGCATTTCCCCTTGTGGCTGGTAGTGCTGTCCACTGGGTGAGAGAGCCTGGGGGTGGGGGCGGGGGTGTTGCCCTGGACATGTCGTGTCCAGGCCTCCTGGTGCCCAAGTCACTCCCTGTACATGATGTTGATATAGTCTGGGCTGAAGCTTTACCTTTCTCTCTCCATTCCTCTTTCTATGTTAATAAGGGGCAGTCTGACCTTGAAGTTTGGTTTCTAGTTCTCTGTGGGATGGGATCTGCATGGATAAGGAGGACTAGGATTTCTTCACTGATGGGTGACTTGGGGCAAGACTTAGATCAATAATCTAATTTTGGTGACCCTAAAATTATAATAGCAGTGTTTGTAATTCTTAAAATATCCTAAGAAACCTGAGTGAGGAACATTTAAAACTATCCCAATCATTGCAATAGTGTATTAATTGCACATCTTATCATGGGGACTCACTCCATCATGTTTAAGTGTTATTCCAAAGTTATTGGAAACTAATTTACTAAGTGCAGCTTCCAGAGCTGTTCCGTGGGCACCTTATCCATTATGGATGCCGCCGAGCCTGGCTGTAATCTGCCCTTGGCAGCGAGTTTGGATACTTGCACCACGTGTTCCTGGCTTGGGAGGGTAGCAGAGCCTGATCGCACGCAGTGGACACAGGTGGCTCTTGGCCTGACGTGAACATGACTATCATAAGATCATAAGAGGGTCCTTCCTCTCTCCCTGCTTCCTTCCTTCCTTCCTTCCTTCCTTCCTTCCTTCCTTCCTTCCTTCCTTCCTTCCTTCCTTCCATTATGTTCCCACCCTTTGCCTCTCTGGATCTCTCCAGTCCCGTATTTCTCCATTTCTTTTATTTCTTGTTCTGTTACTCTCTCCATCTTTGTGTCTCCATTTCTCTCTTGATTTCTGCCCTGCTTTCTCCTGGTCTCGCATCTCTTCTTGGCCTCTCTTTCTCATTCTCCCTTTGCTTTACCTTTCTCTTTGCATTCCTCTTTCTCTGTTAATAAGGGGCAGTCCAACCTTGAAGTTTGGTTTCTAGTTCTCTGTGGGATGGGATCTGCATGGATAAGGAGGACTAGGGTTTCTTCACTGATGGGTGACTTGGGGCAAGACTTAGATCAAACTGCTGAGTGACCACGGAGTCAGCTGGTCCCAAGAGAGGGCGGCTTGCAGAAGGCCCTCCCTGGAGCTCTCCTGGGCCCCTCAGGCTCCAGATCCTCTTCCTGCAGCTCGTCCTCTACTGGCAGCTGGAAGGAATTGCCTTTTTGAAATAAAAGATTCACCTAAAATAACTTCGTCTGCTCAGAATGGGCTGTGAGTTGTTTCTGGGAGACGTGGTGGATGGTGACTGTGAGCGACCCTCCCTCACCAGGGCCCTGTGTCACCCAGACACCCACTTCTAACACGCCGGCGCGTGTGGGAGTCAGCCTCAGCGCCCAGCGCGTCACAGCCACTGCTTCCCCGCGGGCACAGTGGGCACAGTGTCTGAAGGAGGAAGTGGTGGGCAGCCCATTTCATTTGTTTTAATAACCATCCTGTACTCAGATGACAATAAGAAAAAAAAAAGTTAAACATTTAATGTAATTTTAATATAATTTAACTGAGGCCTTGTTTTTGAACTCAGCCTGTGACTTGCACAGGAGGAGGGAGGAGGAAGGCCTCTCACCAGACCGGGTCTGGGCCAGCCCTGGCAGGTGCGCTGGAGACCCTTCTCCTTTCTGTGCCTTAGTTTCCCCACTTGAAGATGTGGAGCTGGAGAATGTTGTTATACAAACAGTCCTGTTCTGATGCGCTGAGACTCGGTGCCCGAGGTGTCTCTCCGTTGTCTTTATGACTTTGATGCTGTGTGCGTATTAGGGTGTGAGGGTGAAGAAGGGACTACGAAGTCTGTTTGTTTTAGAACCTTCCAGGTCTGAGTCCCAACTGTGCCCGCATTGCGGTTCCCAGGGCAGCTCTTGCATTCAGACTCTCGCTCACTGTGTAGTCCGGGAAAACCTTTGCTTCAGAGGGACCGAGGCGCCAGGAACCCTCCAGTGCATCCTGTGCTTATGAGGAAGAATGGAAATCCTAGCTGGCTTTGCAGGCTCTTAAGACTCTTTCTGTCTTGTTGGGACTTTGTAACAACTTTGGGAGGTGGCTGGGCAGCGGTCGTACTTTGCTTTACTTGGCAGCTGAGTAGACTGACCCCCGAGGCTGGCGAGTGGTGGGATATCTGGCCTCAGGCCATGCATATCCATGTTAATATGGGACTCGATGCTTTGAGATTATTTTAGTATGGGAAATGTGGTGACCATCTTCTTGTCGGTATCTGTTGGGGTTCAGTTCCTCAACAAGCCTGGTAAAACTAAAGCCTGACACCCAGCACAGTCTGGGACAATATGGGCCGAGAAGAACAACAACATAAGGCTGTCTAGGCGTTCACACTCTGGGATCAACCTCCTGTGCTGACAGATGCCAGGCCCCTGTGCACTCGCACGAGATGCTGGGCAGGGGAGGGGTCATCTCTAGGCCCCATTTTCCCTCTGCAAGGGGGGGCAGGGAAAGTGACTTACCGCACAGCACGACAGTGATGCTCGAGTGAGACGCTGTTCATAAAGATGCGTATAACATGCATACCTGCTACTCACATGGTTGCTGAGTGAAGGGCTGGTCAGAGAAGCAAGGAAAGACGCCTGCTGACCCGGGCAAGGGTTTTCTACGAAGGATTCTTTTCTTCAGGTGGATTCTTCTGGCCCTTGAGGCAAGTGTGAGGCCAACTTTCCGCTGCTCCATTTCTTCATCTATAAATTGAAGAGATTTTTCATTCATTCAAGAGCTTTTACTGTGTACTTTTGTTGTTGTTGTTATTGTTAATCTTCACCTGAGGGTATTTTCTCCCCATTGCTTTTTTTTTATTTTATTTTTTATTTTTTTAAAATATATTTTATTGATTTTTTACAGAGAGGAAGGGAGAGAGATAGATAGTTAGAAACATCGATGGGAGAGAAACATCGATCAGCTGCCTCCTGCACATCTCCCACTGGGGATGTGCCCGCAACCCAGGTACATGCCCTTGACCGGAATCGAACCTGGGACCTTTCAGTCCACAGGTCGACGCTCTATCCACTGAGCCAAACCGGTTTCGGCCCCATTGCTTTTTAGAGAGAGTGGGAGAGACAAAGAGAGAGAAACATCGATGTGAGAAAGACACATTGATTGGTTGCCTCCTGCACATGCCCTGACCTGGGCAGGGGATCAAGCCTGCTACCAAGGTACATGCCCTTGACTGGAATCAAACCCAAGACCGTTCAGTCCAAGGGCTGATGCTCTAATCACCGAGCAAAGCTGGCTAGGGCTACTATTTCCTTTTACTGTGTGATACTTCAGGCCTTTGTGCCGTGATCGAAATGGTCCTAGCCCTCAGCTCCTTCACCAGCAGGGCGGGGACACAGGCAGAAGGTCACAATGGCAGATGGTCAGTGCTGCCAAAGAGGTGCAGCCATGTGTGGTCAGAGCGCAGAGGAAGGCGCCGATGTTGACAGACACGCACCGCCTATCTCAGGCCGCAGGGGAGGACACGCCATGTCTCTGCAGATGGGCGCTACTGGAAAATCCTAACCCTACACCTGCTTCTCTGATTGGCTCCCATGTGCTGGTCCTACATCTAAAACAGGGAGTTTGGGGAAGCAAGGATATGAGGAAAAACATAAATGAACACTATTTTCACATGCCCGCCTGACGCACCACGACCACACTGTTCCCCAGAGGCAGCCTTGCACCTGCTCCTCCCTTCTCTGTGCCGTCCACTGGGACAGCCAGGACCAGGCCGCCCTGAGCAGTTTTTACTCTTCAAAAGCACTTGGACATTTGTCGATTTAATAGGCTCCTAGCATGAAAGAGAAACTGAAATGTGGAAGTGAGTATTGTGCTCCCCAGCTCATTCATCCTATGAGAAACCGAATCCGGGATCGGGACTCCGGGCCAGCCCCCTCTCCACTGAGGGCCCCTCTGGGACTGCTCTGCGGGGGCTCCCTCAGGCTGCATTTTGTCCACGTGTGACATCCAGTGTGGCTGAGATGCCTCCCGCGTGTGGGTGACAGTGTGTGGGCAGTGAGTGCCCGACCTTAGCCAGCAGACAACCTTCTCCAGCCGCCTCCTTCCCAGCCCCACCATCAGATGCAGAAATGCTCAAAACATCTGGTGGTTGCTGAGGGACATTAAACCCTGGGAACCCAAACCGAGACAAGGGTCAATAGGAATGACGCAGGCACAATGAGAAGCATGTGGTCATGGATGAGCCGGGAGGACCACCCCAACTTGGGGATGGATCCTTAGTGTCATGCTAATCACAGCCTGGCAGTCTTGGACCCAAAGAGTGGCACATGACTTGGCTTGTGCATTCCATAGAAATCTGTTAGCCAGGGCTCTTCAGAGAAACAGGAAGGAGGGAGGAGGGAGGTAGGGTAGGTAGAGAGGAAGGACGGGAAGGCGGGAGGGAGGGAGGGAGGGAGGGAGGGAAGGAGGGAGAGAGGGAGGGAGGAAGGGAAGGAGAGAGAGAGAGATCTTAAGGAATCTCCCGAAGTTGTAGCCACTGGCAAGTCTGAAATTTGCAGGCTGGCCTGGGGGCTTGGAGACTCAGGGAAGACTTGATGTTGCAGCTGGAGCCCCAAGGTTGTCTGGAGGCAAAAATTCCTTCCCAGACAAAGCCCTCACTTTAGCAGCAGACACAGACCTTGGGAATGCAGTTTGCACTGTAACGCAGCCACTGCAGGATGGGAGTCTGTGCAGGTTCCCGCGTCTGAGGCCCGAGGCTGCTGCAGATGAGCATCTCCCTCAGGGCAGGCAGAAACCCTGGTCACAGATGCTGCACTTGGGCTGTGAGCTTGCATCCCCGAGCCCCTCCTTTCTTTACCACGTGGTCTAGCACGATTACTCCATTTGACAGAAATGTCCTAAGGTATCGAACACTCGGTCAACCCAAACGTTGCTTCCTAGAATAAATCGTAAGTGTGTCTGTGGTGGGGATATTTTGCACATCCCTGTTGCCCTCTTTCCTAGTGGAAATGAGTCATTAGTGCCCTTAAAACAAATCAGATTAGAGGGGCGATTCCAAAACCCCAGACTCATTCAGGGAACGTTGATTCTCTTCCTCTGGAACCACTCTGGGTACCAGAATCTGATGGGATTACTCATGGGTAGGCCCGGCTGTTGGCTCCTGGCTCGGACGAGAGAGAGAGAAAGAGAGAGAGAGAGAGAGAGAGAGAGAGAGAGAGAGACACAGAGAGACCCAGTCAGTGTTTCACTGTGCTTTTGTGGTTGTGTGTTGAAATACATGTACTCAGTCTTCCATTGTTTCTGCTCTGGGTTTGCCCTGCTTCTTGTCCATGGGGGCGCTGTCACAGCCCAGCCTCCCATTTACTCTGCATGAATGCTCTCAGGCCCCAGCCCCTTGTGAATCAGCACCAGCTGCGGGCCCTGCAGTTCCGGGCTGGCCTGGGGAGCCTGCCAGCTGCTGGCTCAGGGTCCCATCCATCCTTCAGTTTGGACTTTCCCTGGAGAAGGACATCGGAAGGTCTGACCTCCGCCAAGAAGGCCTCAGCAGTGTGTGTGGAGGAGTGCGGATCGGCCAATTGAGCCCATCGTGGTTTATTCTGATTAGTGGTGATTGTTTCTGGCAGGCAGCTCAGTGGTGTCTGTGGCCTGAGGGTCAGGGCTCGCTCAGGTACAGTGCGTCAAACGGGGGCGCGCCCTGGTGCTGGGAGCAGCCCCCAGCCCCCAGCATGGCCCACACGCCTCCTGGGGTGGGGGTCTCCCATAGGATGGGTTAACTCCTGCCCTGCCCTGCCCTTAGGGGCTGAAGAAAAGGAATAAACCAAAAGACCGCCGCAGCATCTTAGGATCCCTTGGAATCTGAACAGGAAGGACAAAGCAGAAATGAACCTCAAGCTGCCTTTCTCCTTCTCTAAGTGCCCCCGTCTCAGCTTGGCCTTGGCCCAGGAGCCCTGGCTCAGCCTGGGCCTCAGGCAGGGCTGCTCAGCAGTGGCCTTGGACTCTGACCCACTTCTGGGTTTTCCAGAGGTTGAAGGCTGAGTTCATTCTTTCGTGGTGAGTGCATATTCTGTGCACCAGCCCTGCGCCGCCAGCAGTTGTATGTCACAGACTGAGATGAGGGCCGCAGTCAAGGGCACGCATGTGAGGGGGATTCAGGATGCGTTCAGGAGCCAACGCTCCTTGCACTCAGGTTTCCAAAGCAGGACTGCAGGGCAGATTCAGGCCGAGGACGAGCAGGAGCAAGTTACGGGAAAATCAGGGAACTTTATGGTGGTCCAGGATTTTTTTCTCCAGGTGGTTCTGCTTTCTTGAACTTTTTCATGTCAACAAAACTCAGACACGTTAGGGTTGTGAGTCCTTTGTTTTCCTGATGCCTGCGCCAGCCTCTGCCTTGTGCTATGGCCATAGCCAGCAGGGCTCCAGGCCTGGCTGCGCGGAGCCGGGAGGGGAAGAGCCCGAGCGGAGGTCCCGAGAACCCGTTTGCATCTCATAAATGGACTTGGTGGCAGCCAGGGCCTGCGCGGTGTGCAGAGTTTTTCTACTTTGGAATGAGCTGGAGCTGTTTACATCCAGCTGGCTCCTCAGACCGAATTCTGCCTGAGAGGCTTTGAGAAGGTCCGGCACCCAGGAGACCTGCCAGGGGATTCTGAGCGTTGGCTCCGGGGCTTCCTTCTGGGTGGGGCTTCCCGGGTGTGGAGCCCTCCCTCCTGCTTCAGGATTGTTACCGATTTCCCCTAGAGAGCTGCCCGCCATGGCCTCTGACGCCGCTGGCTGAACAGGGACTCCTTTATGAAATTCCTGAGGCTGGAGGGCACAGCTGGGAGGAGCCAGCTAGAGTGGCCGCTGCGTCATAGAGGGCCTGTGGTTTAGTTATCCATCTGGAGGTAAGGCATAGAGGGCCTGTGGTTTAGTTATCCATCTGGAGGTAAGGCATAGAGGGCCTGTGGTTTAGTTATCCGGAGGTAAGGCCTCGGGAAGGCTGTGGAGAGGAAGGAGACACATTCCTGACTGAGAAGTGTTTGGCCCTGAGGACGCTGTGTTGGAGAATGAGGAAGGGCTGGAAGGACCGCTGTGGGGGTGGGGTAGCCCTGTGGCAGGAGGAGGTGAGGAGAGGGGATTCCTGGAGGTGGGAAGGCTGGCCTGGCATCAAATTTCAGCTCCGATGCCTTTCATTAGTAAAAGATCACCCTAACACACACTTACTGAGTTCAGCCTCCTATGTGCAGGCAGAGTCGTGTTTGGTAGGGTATGTCCATCTAGGGAGAATCCAAAAATTCAAAATGGGTGGTTATTGGAGTACTGGAGTGGAGACTGGATTGAGTTTCCGATGATGTGAATGGGGAGATAAGCTTTGTTAGGCCGCCGGACAATGGCTTGCATCAGATGTGGCAGCGAGGAGTTCGAGGAGTTCGTTTTTTGTGCTTGAAGGCAAATGCTCCTCGGAGGACTTCTTGAAGGGAGTGGCCTGGGAAGATGTCTTAGGGAGATCACTCCGGGAATGTCATGGAGAAGGGATGGAGAGCTGGGGAAGAAGGTTAGGAAAGCAAAAGTAAATCTAAACTCTGATCGGGAGGCTCTGCTGGGATGAGCTGGGGGAGAATGAGCTGAGGGATGGGACACGCAGTGGAGGAAAGGATGGGTCTCAGCCATTGAAGCATTGGCATTCTATGATGTAAATGATTCCCACCTGTCTGGCTTGCCCATGAATGGACAGAGAAGGACATGATTTGGGCATCAGGGCACTGAGAGTCTTTCTTTACAGTGTATTTCGCAGTATGTACTGCAAAGTCCTTTGTTTCTCTTACACAGCCAGCTGTGACTCGGGGTGCTAACAGCAGTTCCCTTCAGGTGGTACTCAGGGAGCCACACTGTCTCTGGGCAGATCTGTGTTTGCTCTCAAATGCTTCAGCTCCTTGGTATAACATCTCATCCCCTCTCTCAGCTCATTAGCTAGAACTAGACACTGTGAGGGGGGCTGGGAAGTGTTAGGAGAGTAGGGGGAGTATTTGGTGAGCAGTAAGGTTAAGTTTGAGATGCTATGGATCACCCAAAAATAGGAGTCTAGACAACACTTGGGCCTGGATGCTTGAATGCAGTCTGAGAGTGTTAATGATTTGGGAATGAGCAGTGTAGGAGGTGGAACGTTTGGGATCACCTATGGAGTGTGTTGAGTTAGAAGAGCAAGGTCCCAAGGTGAACTCTGAGGGAACACACGTTGAGGTGGTGCCTTTGGTGGATGAGGTATTTGGCCTCAGGTATCTGTGTCCTCACCTGTGAGATGCGGCTGGCACCTTCTCGGAAGGGATGGTGAGAGTCCTTGACATGCTGCTGGGCAGGTGGCTACTCCCAACAAGGCTGGTTTCCTTTCTCCCTCATTGCATGGTGTTCAGCTTTGTTCTCTTTGTCAGGAACTGTGGTGTACGGCGAGCCCGTCACCGCCAGCCTGGGGACTGATGGCTCCCACTACTGGAGCAAGAACTGGGCCAAGGCCGCTGCTTTTGTCACCTCCCCACCCCTGAGCCCTGACCCGACCACTCCGGACTTTCTGAACTCCTTGCTGTCCTGGTGAGTCTTGGCGACTTGTTCACACTTTCCATTCTCAGTCTTCGCTCAGACCAACCTGACCTGGTGGGTTACAGCATGGTGGGCAGAAGAAGGCTTGCAGACAGACCTGTGTTCTCCAAACTCAGTTGGCTAAACGGGAACAGGGGATTGTCACTTTGGCACCATTTTGGGGAGGGGAATTTAGAATAAAAATGTGGGCCAACTGACAGGGATGAATGCAATATCCAAAGGATTCCACTGTGGTGCGGTGACACCCTAAGATGCCTTACAAATAGGTGTCATCTGTTTCCCTTCCAGTGGAGATCTCCAGGTCACTGGCAGTGCCCATTGTACTTTCAACACTGCCCAGAAGGCGGTCGGAAAGGACAACTTCACCCTGATCCCCGAAGGCACCAATGGCACTGAGGAGCGGATGTCCGTCGTCTGGGATAAGGCTGTGGTAAGGAGCAGTGGTCTCCCTCCCGGGCTGGCCCCAGCTTTCTCCGGCCTCCTCATCTGAGGGCCATCGGTCTCATGTCAGCCTTGCAATGGCAGTTGAGAAAATTCTAGAAGCTGGTGTTTGTATGACAATATTTCTTAGGTTTGGGAATCCAAGATCTCTCCTTATATAGTTCATTTCCTTCTAAATATTTTATATACATTTTTTATCATTATCATTTGTGATCAGTGGAGACTAAAAAAACCAATACCCCACAGTCTTTAAAATTTGACTCTTTTGTGATTAGTCAGGAAAAAGCTTCCTTAGAGACCTGGTGACTTTCTCAGTTAACCTTCTATTCTTGGAAATGGACTCCATCTCCTTAAAAGTGTTTTTAGGGCTCTTTGGGCTCAGCATTTCTACCCATGACAACTACAGGCTGGTGGCGGGCCTGCTTTGAGATACTCTGACATTTAAGGGTCTTGGGACTTTTGCATTTTCAGTGCTTTAAAACATAACAACAGCACAGATTTTGTTTCCTAACGAATTTTTTAAATTATGCAAACAATATATCCTTGTTCCAGAAAGAATGGAAGTGAATGAAAACTACTCATGACACCATCTTTCAGATTTAATGACAATTAATATGTTGGCCAAATGTCTTTCCATTTTTTTGTCAGTGCAAGAGTGCACATGTGTGTATATGATATGTGTGTGTGTGAGTGTGCAAACACCACGGCCTGTTTTATTAAGACAATACATCATGAAAAGGTCTCCACATTCTGAAATATACCTGAAAAACTTGTTTTTATTCTTTATGTTCTTTGAACATTTATGTTGTTTCTGATTTTTTTTAATGCAGGAAAAGTTTATTTCTGTTTTGACAGTAGTTTGGTGGTAACTGCATAAGTGGTCTTGAAAGTGATTTTTAATTGCATGTTTATAAGTTGAGAAATTGGATATACACTTTAAGTGGAAATAGTTTGCTGCTGTGACTGAGAAGTTACACCTGCAGTGAAAATTTATTTTTCTCATACAGAATCGATTTAGGAAAGAATTGAGTTAGGAAAGCCTCAGAGCACTTTCAAAAAAAATATATGTTTTTATTGAATTTTTTAGAGAGAGAGGAGGGGAGAGGGGTAAGAGAGATAGAAGCATCCTTGAGAGAGAAACATCGATCGGCTGCCTCCTGCATGCCCCCTACTGGGGATTAAGCCCGCAACCTGGGCATGTACCTTGACTGGGAATTGAACTAGCGACCTCTTGGTTCGTGGGTCAATGCTCAACCGCTGAGCCACATTGGCTGGGCTGTCATGTACTTTTATGTCTGACCATCACCAAGCAATATTTTCCTTATCGGTGATACATATGAACAGTGAAATCGAGTTGTACAATTGCATCTGGGTATGTCATTGAATTGTACCTTAACAAAACAACCACCTCCCACCCCACTGAAGAAATGGGCAGCCTCTCGGGCCTGTCAGGCCGTCCACTGGACTGATCCAGTGCTCAGCTTCCCATAGGGAACCTGGTTTTGTTACTGGGATGACTATCCTTGGACACATCTTTTATTATGCTTCTGGGAGAAATTTCTAGAAGTGGTATTGCTGAGTCAAAGGATATGTATATTTTTTGGGCTTTTGCTATATATATTGCCAAAGTTACTTCCAGGAAGATTGCATCCATTTGTGTGCCGCCAGCATTGTGTGACATCCCTCAGTCTCTTCCACCTGGTCCTCATTGGTGTTATAATCAAACCCCCCAAAATGTGGCTAATTTGATGGGTGAATTTTGTCTTTCATTCAATCCCTTCAGTTACTAATTGGAGTGAGTATGTTTTCATATGCTTATGGACCATTGATATTTTTCTCTTCCTCTTAATACCAGCTCATTTCCTTTGCCCAGTTTTCTACTACTTTAGGGTAGTTTTCTATGCAGGCACGTCCTCAAATTCTGCTTTTGAAAGGACATAGAGCACACGTGGTAGAGATGAGAAAGTGCAGGAAGGACATGAGGAAATGTCATTGGCTGCAGAAACCCAGACATGGGGCTGAGACCTCTAGATTGGCTAGACTAGAAGCCTAGGTTTGCGCCGTATCTTTGAAAAGGACAGCCACTCAAGTCTAATGATATTTCCTCAAGAGGCGTTTGTATCCCCGTCAACTTTTTTTTTTAACTTTTCATTTTGAAATAATTATATTCAGAGGAAGTTGCAAAGAGAAGACAGAGAGGGCCTGTGTACCCTCCTCCTGTTTCCCCCGATAGCTGCATCTCACATAATTATAGTAAGATATCAAAGCCCAGCGATCAACGATGGTGGTGTGTGTGTGTGTGTGTGTGTGTGTGTGTGTCCTTTTGTCCTATGGAGATTCATGTGACCATCACTGCAAACAAGGTACAGATGTCCCCTGTCACCACAAGGAGCCCCTTCACTCTGCCCATGTATAGTCACACCCATCCCTACCTTCATCACTCCTATTCTGTTCTCCTTCTCTGTAACTTAGTTATTTTAAGAATGTGTATATAAATGAAATCATACTGTATGTGACCTTTTGAGATTGGTTGTTTCACTCAGCATAATGCCCTTAACATCCAAGTTGTCGTATGTATCAAAAGTGTGTTCACTTTTATTGCTGAGTCGCGGTCCACCCTTCAACCTCTTGACCTGTTTTTGGTGTGTGTGTGTGTGTGTGTGTGTGTGTGTGTGTTTGTGTGTGTATTCTACTCTGCAGGTCACTGGGAAGATGGATGAGAACCAGTTTGTGGCCGTGACCAGCACCAACGCAGCCAAAGTCTTCAACCTTTACCCCCGGAAAGGCCGCATTGCTGTGGGATCCGATGCTGACCTGGTCATCTGGGACCCCGACAGCGTTAAAACCATCTCTGCCAAGACCCACAACAGTGTAAGGCCTGTTCACTGTGCGCAACCAATCCAAACAGATCACAGTCACAGAAAGAAACAGAGGCATGGGGAGTCCCAGGATTGAGGGAGAGAACGCACTGTGATAGGAATGAACGTTCCCTGGGATATATTATAATTTGCATTTTGTTGATAAAAAAATTTTTTTTTCTTTAGTGAGGTCAAAAAGACTGACGGTAAGTTACTCTTATCATTTTGGAGTACCACAGCCTCTCTTACAGATAGAGTCTCTACTTACAGACTTCAGAGCCTCCAGTCATGCAGGACATTGGGAGCTTCTAGGAGTCAGACACCATTCCGTTTTTCTAGTTTGGTGCAGCACCTCCCATGGCGGCACTTGGTGCAGGGACCTAAATAAACACTCCTGAGGTGCCCACCGGGCATGTCTATTCTTTTAAGCCGTTGTTTTCTCATGTCAGTGTTGCCCTATAGAAACATAAATGACAGAGGCTCTTATTGTCCTCAAGGAACTAATTGACTTTGGCTTCTTTCCAAATAGAAGAAATACTCCCTGCTGCAGCCATTCTGATAAGATTTTAGAATCTGGAGTTTGGGGTGTCACTTTTTTAATTTTTAAAATTCATTTATCGATGAGAGAGAGAGTGAGAGAGAGAGAGAGAGAGAGAGAGATTTGTTATTCCACTTATCTATGCATTCATTTGTTGATTCTTGTATGTGCCCTGACCGGGGATTGAATCTGCAACCTTGGCATATTGGGACAACGCTCTAACCAACTGAGCTACCCGGCCAAGGCCCTGGAGTGTCTCTTGTCTCTTAGTCCAGGCTGCAGAGTTTGGCGGTGCCCTGACTTGTTAATGGGACCTTGGGCAAGCAACTCATGTCACGTCTCAAGCTCCTCCGTTGCGAGTGTGGGATTTAGATGAGGTCTCTGGATGTCCTGTGAGTCAGGTCAGGGGCCTTAGGCAGAGGTTAGATACCACTGGTTTTTTACAGAAAAAGTTTTGTGTGTATGTGTCTGTATAGATATATCGATGTATCTGTATAGATATAACATTGAAAGAGTATGGGCAAAGGGAGCTTTGGAAAAGAAGTGGACACAGGACAGAAGTGTTTTGTCAGAAACTCATGAATCTGGAAGTGAATTAAAGTTCTGAATTGAAAGCTGGCTCAGTAGGGAATCTGATTCTAGACTGCCCACCCCAGCTAGCCTGACTCCTTTCCCAGGTACCACCACAGCTCAGGGGTGGGCGTCTGGCATTTCTCCAGGACAGCCCTGGGCCCTTTGCTGCACCCCAGTCCTCTCCCATTTGAGCAGAGGGGTTTGAGGTGTGGTGCTCACTAGCCTCTACCGGCACCTGTGGGTGCTGGGATGGTGGGTGCCTTCCGGGAAGGCTGCTCCGCCCTTGGTATTTATTTGTAGTTGACTTTCATCCTCCTTTCTCACTGGCTGGCTTAGCTTTGCAGCATAGCTTCACGGCCACACCAACTTGTAACCTAATCACAACCTCTTGGGGTATAGGGTGGCTTCTTTACAGGTAGCGGATCCTGCCCAGTGAACCCCCATATTCCTATGCAGTTAACATCATATTCCTTCCCATTTACTCTTTCATTTGGCCTTTTCAGTAAAGGGATGGTATTATTATCCCGATTGGGAAGATAAATAAACGGAGGCTCAGAGAGCTTAAGTCTAATGTTACATAGCTATTTTGCGGTAGAGCCAGAATTAGAACCCAGAATTGTCCAGCGCGCTTCCCTGCCAGACTGCGTATGCCGCCTCCGGGTCGGGGTTCAGTGCAGAAGCAGCTTCCCCTTCCTGCAGTCCTTCCCCAGAGGTGCTTCCTGCGAAGGCGGAGCTGGACTCATTTAAACTGCAGACAACCTCACTAGGGAGCTTGCATTTGGCGCCCTTAACCTGGGTGAAGGAGCGATGATTCGAGAAGACAGGTTCTCCCTCCAGGCATTCCACCCGAACCTTTTGAGGGCGATAGCACTGCCCTGGCTTTACCGCCAGGCAACCTCGTCTAAGACATGCTGACTTCCAGAAGTGCCTCTTTTTCATCCTCACTTGTTTTAAAGAGCCCACACTAAGCACGCCTGTGCAGCATCCGTCATTTGGGAGAATACAGACAGGAGGCTGTCCCATGTGAGTGTTTCCTACCACAGCGCTGATTAGCGTTAATTTGGAGCATTTAGATAACTATTATTGACAGCCTGCTTGGATCTTCCAGGCATCCAGCCAGATGAGTAATTTAGGGGCCCCCGTGGATGTAGGTTAAACACATCTACACTGGGGAGAGATCAAGCCGGACCGCCTCATGGTTTGACAAAGGGTGGGCTCTGAACACCCAGAGGACTGTGATCTGACCACTGACTTGTTGATTTTTTAGTCACTTAGGGTCGTGGGGCTGGTTCCTCCATCTTCTCAGAACGGGAGGTGGCCCAAAGCTCTGGCAGCGGGTTATGCTCAGTCTTCACATGCAGTTAAACTCGATACATGTGTCTTACGTTGTCGGCACTAAAGGGCCTGCGATCTTGTTGGGACAGAGCAATGGAAAACCAGACAGTGGATGAGGGAATGTTCTCTACATGCCGGCTTTGTGTCAGGGAGCATGCTAGCTGCTCTTGTTTTTCTATTTCTTGCGATCCTAGCACCATTCCTGCAAAGTGGGCCTTTTGTAGACGAGGAAGGGAAGCTGTGGATCAGAGGAGTGTAAGGGACTTGTCCTAAGTCACACAAGTGGCAAATAGCGGCCTGGGATGTGAACCCAAGGCAGATGGCACCGGGTCCAAGGTTGTCTCCGTTGCTCCAGTAGGGCGCAGGGGAGACTGTGAGAATATAGACAGTTAGCTGTGGAGTAACAAGACAGAGAGGGAGCTTGATCCAGCCCTTAAAGGATGTCACCCTTTCCAAGTCATTTCAGAGCTGACAGAATCCTCTCAGGGATCTGCACACGTAGGATGCTTTTTGTGTTGCACTCGTCACCAAGCCTTTGAGAGCGGCAGGGCTGAGTGAGCTGCCGTGGTCACACAGCTTCTGCATCTCACCACATCTGAGTGCCATCGGTGCTCAGATGTTCCATTAGTTTATGTGCCACCATCAGGGCACATCACAGTCAAGGTGAGGCAGACCCTATAAAAATACGCTGTGCCACCGAGGACCAGCTTGTGCTCAGGGTAGGGTAAGTGAGAGGGGAATCTGCCTCGCAGGATATGATGGCAAATGCCTGCGAGCCTTGACTTTGGCTTTGGGTACAGAGAGGGCAAAATGCCTCCTCGGAGAGTATGACCCGAATGCCAGTACTTATGCGAGTTGGAGGTCTGAGTTCCTGCTGCCTGTAGGGTCCAAAAGAACCTGAAGCTGGGAATTTAATATCCAGTGGATTCCATGTGGTTGTCCTCTAGGCCAGAGGGAAAAGCAAACCCAGGTCCCCCTGGAAGCACGCGGTTCAGTCTCCACTGACAGCAACTGACTGTGCAGGGCCGCCTGCTGTAAGACACATTCTGACTTCAGGGAAGAGTCTTAGAGTCGACGAAAGACTTGGGGACACACTTGGGTCCCTCCTCCGAGATGCTCTCTGCCTCGTTCCTTCGGTTGTTTCCACGTGAGTCCTCGGAGCCTCAGAGCAGTACTGACTCTCCCTCGTTGCTGTTCTCAGTCAGCACTGCTGCATTTAAAAAAATGTTTTTATTGATTTCAGAGAGGAAGGGTGGGGGGGAGAGAGAGCGCGAGAGAGAGTGAAACATCACTGATGAGAGAGACTCATTGATCAGCTGCCTTCCACATACCCGCTACTACGGATTGAGCCAGCAACCTGGGCATGTGCCCTGATTGGGAATTGAACTGTGACATCCTGGCTAATGAGTCAATGCTCAACCACTGAGCCACACTGGCCGGGCCAGCACCACTGCATTTTGACACCGAATGTGAGCTAAGGAGCCAGCCGGGGCTTCTCCATGCTTATCAGCAGAGGTGCTGACCTGCAGCGGGACAGCTCATTCCCAGGCTAACTCCTTTAGTGCTGATAACCTGGTCTGAATTCTCCCAGAAGCCCAAGCGGCTTTGTATGGTTGGAGCTGCCTATTTATGCTCCATTCCTGGGCTCAGCGCAGATATTGGTGCCTGTGACAGGGCAGGCAGGAAGGAGCAGGAGGCCTCCGGGAGTCGGGGTGGCCCTGGGTGAGCCGAAGCTGCAGGATGAGACTGACAGTAGAGTTTTTGTGGGGAGCACAGTGCCCCTGATTTCTGTTGCCTTGCTTCCAGCATGTTTTCCAAGAGGGCACACAGATACGCCACTCTTTCACCCTGAAAAGCTTGGATTGCTGCATGTTTGGGAAATGAACTAAACCTCAAACATCTTATGAAGGCAAGCCCCTTAAATTACACCAGTGCTTTCATTTAGGGACTGCAGCTTCACCACATCGCTAACAGTATGGAGAGCCAGGCTCACAGCGGGAAACCCTAGCCCAGGATGGCCACTCCAGGTTAACTTTAGAACTCAGTCACGGAAGGCCTCTGCTTTCAGCCTGATTGGAGCTTCAGTTAGTGAGAACAACGGCGCTGCTAATGCGTGGAATCCTTCTCTTATGTTTTGTAGCATTTATAAGTCCTCATGCTTTTCTGGTGGGAAGAGATGATTCCATGTTCTAGACAGAGAAATTAAGACTTGGAGATTAATGCCTGCTGGTGTGGTCCGCGGGGCAGGGACTCCAGCGCTGGGTCTTTCTTTTGTCCATGTGATGTGGGGCAGTGGGTGTTGCCCGCCTGGTGAAATCTAGCCAAGGTGGCAGGCGTATCTAAGTGTCCTGTGCCCTCTTCCTGCAGGCTCTCGAGTACAACATCTTTGAAGGCATGGAGTGCCGTGGCTCTCCGCTGGTGGTCATCAGCCAGGGGAAGATTGTCCTGGAAGATGGCACCCTTCATGTCACCGAAGGCTCTGGGCGCTACATCCCCCGGAAGCCCTTCCCTGATTTTGTTTACAAGCGTATCAAGGCAAGGAGCAGGGTGAGTAGCTTGGAGAATATGATTGTTTTGTCATGGATTACATTCAGTTTCATAAACCCTTCTAAGCACTTTGAGTCCGAATATCAAGATGAGTACGAAGGATTCAGAGAAAAAGGAAACTTTTTTTAATTCCTGGACTTGAGAATACCAGCAGAGGAGTCAGCCGTGTCCACAGCCAGCCAGAATGAAGTGAGACTGACATGTGCTGTGATAGGGTCCCGGGGCAGGAGCCACTGCTGTGGAGTCAGGGGGGAAAGTGTCATGGGGAGAGGGCATTCTGAGTTGGGTCTTGGAGGTTAAGTGGGAGATTGGCAAGTCAAAGAAGGGAGACACGGGAATATGTAGAGAGAATGTTATGAGCATGGAAAACGTATGGTGTATTCAGGGCATGGAGAGTAGTCTACAGCACTGGGCGGGAGGTGTCAGGCTGGGGTCAATGGAGTTGGAAGGGTATTAAAGGGAGAGTGAGATTGGAAAGAAAGTTTGGGCCAGATCTTGACCATCAAAACAGATCCTTTCACAATATATTTGGAATTCCTATAGGTTTAAGTGGAAGTGCCTTGGGGAAAATGGTAAGAAATGTTAGTTTTTATAGAGTAACCAGTTACCCATGACCCACCTAGGAGGATCACTAGCCTGGAGTCCTGGAGCTGCCCCATGCTGCCATCTGTCCCTGCCCTGCCCTCCATAAGGAGCGCCCCCATCTCTAAATCTCACCGGCCTCTGTTCTAGCCTCTCCTCTTCCACATCGGAGGGTGGCCAGGGAGGCATCCTCCGAATGCGGCCTGAATCGGGGGGGCCTGTGTTTTGCAGCTGGCGGAGCTGAGAGGGGTTCCCCGTGGCCTGTACGATGGGCCTGTGTGCGAGGTGTCTGTGACACCCAAGACAGTCACTCCAGCCTCGTCGGCTAAGACGTCTCCGGCCAAGCAGCAGGCCCCACCTGTCCGGAACCTGCACCAGTCTGGATTCAGCTTGTCTGGTATGGTTATGGTTTGGGGAGGGCCCAGTTCTGCAGGGGGCTGGTGAGTCTGGAATCACTTTTGTAGAAGGAGAAGCAGCAGAAATGAATGGTATTCCCATTTTCCCCAAAGTGGGAAATGCTGATATCACCAGAGATGTCATTCACAGCCAGTGGCCAGTGGGTTTCAGAGCCCTGACATCAGTTTGTGTCACATATAATGGCATGATGTGTACACTGTGTGCATACCCAGTATATTAATAGGACATTTTTTTCTCTGTATTATGGCCATCCTAGAAAAAGATGTGGTGGTTTTTCAGGATTTCTCTTCTCCCCTAATATGCAGTACAATTGACTCTTGAACAATGGGTTTGAACTGTGCAGGTCCACTTATATGTGGATTTTTTCCAATAAATACTGTTCAACCAGATGTGGATCAAAAACAATATTTTTGCATTAGCAGATTCCCAGATACAAATCTAAAATAGTGTATTTTGGTCCATGTTTGGTTGAAACTACAGATGCGAAGAGCCCATTGTAATTAAGTTTTGAGGGAGTCAGAATTATACACAGAGTTTTGACTGCACAGGTGGTTGGCGCTCCTGCCCCCTGCGTTGTTCAAGGGTCAACTGTATATTGTATAGTTCAGCTTATGGAGTTTCAGCAGCTTAACTTCGTAGTCCAGATGCTTGCCAGCTGTGCCTCAGTCTCCTCATCTATAGAATGGGTATAATAGTAGTAGCTACCGTATGGAGTTGTTGTGAGGATTAAATGAATTAATGTGCATGCAAAGAGCTCAGAATAGAGCCATTTGAGAATTGTTAGCTATTTGCTTGAATAAAATATGTGATATTAGGGACGATGAGAGGAAGGGGTCAAGATTTTAGAGCTTCCACACTTGAAATTTCCTTCCAGTCCTTCATTTGGTCCATAACTAGAACCCTTCCACTTTTCTAGCCGTCTGAACCACAAATATGTATCCAGATTTCTGTGGTGTGTTAAACAGTTAATTAGATCCTTTTTTGGGGGGGGTCAGATATATTGGTTTTTAGAACATTGCCATATATGCCATATACAGATTACCCATTTTCGAAAGATTTAATAATAACGAACCTTAGTTTTGTCATAAATGAAAATGGGCTAATGGTGTTGTGCTGTCGTATGTCACCAGGCCATTAATATAAGGAACCATCATATTAGACAATGAGGTGAGTAGTGTTAGGGGAACATAACGCCAGAGGGCTGTGCCTTCGGAAAAGCTGCACTCAAACTGACTACCAGAGTAGGGGCAGGATGTAACGAGTCAGGAGACAGCCTGGGATGGAGTGTTCCTTTATATGTAGCTTTACTTTTTCAAGTGATGGATCCAACTGGCTTCTGCAGGTACTGCTTTATACCGTCAGCGTCTTTGGCCACCTTAAGCCCATCACTTCTTTGTAGTTTAAACTTCCAGGGAGTGTTGAGAGGACAAAGAGTGGGTCCGGCCCTTAGAGCAGGAACTCCTGTAACTCTGCTTTTGACCCTCACCCCTCTTTCCTCTCCAGGTGCTCAGATTGACGACAACATCCCCCGTCGCACCACCCAGCGCATCGTGGCGCCCCCTGGGGGCCGTGCCAACATCACCAGCCTGGGCTAGAGTTCCAGGGCCCATTCCACTGGGGGGTAGGGGTTGGGGGATGGGACACCTGAGGACATTCTGAGACTTCCTTCCTTCCTTCCTTTTTTTTTTTTTTAAAGAGCCTGTGATAGTTACTGTGGGGCAGCCAGTTCACGGGGCTCCCTCTTGGGCCTCACACTCCGTCCCTCACCCGGAGTCACTGACTTTGCTCACCCACTTCTCTACACATCTACAAACATCACACCACATCTACCCACCAGCCCCGTACAGGGGACTGCATCCAACACTCAGACATGCGAAACAGAGCAAATCACCATGAGGGTGTTTCTCATCTCCAACCTCTGTTGTATTTATCATCTTCCTTTTCATTGGGAGGGAAGATAAAGTGAATTGCCCAGAGCTGCCTTTTTCTTTTTAAATTAAAAAAAAAAATGTTTTCGTTATGGGGCTGGGAAGGGGTGGGTGGGGGAGGGGGGAGATTTTTTTTTAATACTAAATTAGAAAAGCCTAATTCAATACTAATACAAGGGGTTTGAACTGGACATCCTAATGATGCAATTATGTAACCATCACGCTGATTCAGGGTGGTCGGCAAACTCGTCGTGTCCCTCCTGAGGTTCCAGAATGTCCACATCACCATTCCGTAGTCTTCTGGGCTGACTGCTTTTAGGGCAGGTTTTCTTTTTGGCTTAGATTTTGCTGCAGAATAAATCTTTTCCTCGGTTCACCTCTTCTCTCTCTCTCTCTCTCTCTCTCTCTCTCTCTCTCTCTCTCTAGCTTTTTAATTTGTTTCATGCCTCTCTCTTTGTGTTTCTTCCAGCCTTGTCTCTGAGACACTGGTTTCTCGCCTTCCCCACTGCCTCTTCAAATGACCAGGTCTACCATTCTACTGTGGTCATAAGAACCTGCCTGGGGGGGTGTGAGCTTTGTCATCACAACCATAGTAATCTGCTGTCCTTGTCCCTGTAAGACTGGTGCTACCCACCCATCACCATGAGGATATGCATGTGGGTCTGAGACCCTCCCAGGTGCAGGGAAGGGCCGAGGTGCCCACCCTCACGGGCACACCTAGGCCCAGAATAGACCCTGACGCAGTGCCGAGATGTGGCAGAAGTTGAGGCTACAGGACGTGCGAGTTTTTCCTCCAGGCAGTGCTACCTTGTTAGACATAATCAAATCTGTAAAGTGAGCCCCAAACCCGAGTGAGCCACCCAGTCCCTCAGGCCAACCACCAGCTCAGCATTGTTGAGCTAGTGGGAGTGGCCCCAAGAGCCTGCTGTTCCTGGCTAAGTGTCTTTTGGGGTTCCTGAACACAATGGGGCTTCTCACTTTGGGGGAAAATCTTTTTTTCTTGTCCCATTATTTCAAAAGACATCGTGCAATGCAGGAGGCCTTTTAAACTCTGAAAATTCTTGGGAAATTGGCCTTAAAGCCCATTTTACTTGGCAAAAGGAGACATCTGTTTAATGAGTGCGATGTCACATCAGAGCTGCTTGTGGAGAAACTCACACGTCGGACATGAGGCCCGTAGAGACCAAAGGTGACCTGGGTCAGCATCTTCCCTCTCTGTCTCAGTGACCCTCTCACTCGCTGCCTTTGTGCCCGTCCCTGTCTTTGCTGATTTGTGTTGCATGTCCTCCCAAGCGTGTGTACAGGTTCTCCTAAGTGCGGTCTGTCTGCGGCTTTCATAAGACCCAGCTGCTTTCACATACAAAAGTAGGTCATCCCGTCATTCCACTTGTCTCTCCACACATTTTGCCTTTGGGGTTATGGTTGGGGTGTATTTTTTATTACTGTTGTTGTTTATTTGTTATTTGAAAAGGAAATTGCACTTTTAAAGAATAATTGGTTAACTTAATATATTTGCTTTTTTTCTCACCTTCACTTAGAAGAAATTTGAACCAGTTGGAAAAAGTATTTTTTGTTTCAATTCTAAGAAACACTCGCAGCTCTTCAGTGTTCACTTGAGTCTTCCTGTCTTTCCTGTACCAGGTCCTGGTCATTTTGGTTCTTTGGATTGTTTCCTTAAAACCGCTTGAAACCTGGAGATTCCCGCAGGCTGTGTAAGCATGTGTACCTGTTGGCTTGCTTTGTGTGTCTGTTAGATGAATGTCATGTGTAAATGCTAACATAAATCGACAGTGTCTCAGATCTGAATAACTGCAGTGACTTGATGCTCTGAAACAGTGTAGGATTTCATAATAGATGGTTCTTAATCCTTGGAATTGTGATTGTGACCCATGAGGAGGAACTTTCAGTGCTAAAGCTCATCATCGTGTGTAGCCAGAAGAGTACCTTTTTTTTTTTGTAACCACTGTCTTAATGACAAAATAATTATGGTTAAAAAACAAACAAATAAGTCTCGTGTTTATTATTCCTTAAGAACTCTGTGTTATATTACTATGGAACGCCTAATAAAGCAAAATGTGGTTGTTTCACAGCTGTGTCTGTGTTGAGATGTTCAAGAGGCAGCTGCTTGGCCTGGCCTTCCCACACCACCTCCCTTCCCGAAGCGTCCTGGGCCCTTTGACCTTGTTTTGGTGACTGTCCCCGTTCCAGAGTTGTCACTGCATGTCCAGGCCACTGAGGTCTGATTCCCAGCAGAGCTCTGCATGGCGGAGCTGAGGGTCAAATTCATAGACTGTACTGGGGAGGCCACCAGGGCCCCGGAATCCAGCTACGGACCTACCATGGGACGTGGGAGTGGCTGGGGCCATGTCGGTTAGTGTGGGTGACCTCTGGGCTCCCTGGGACACCCTTGAGCTGCATGGGGACGTGGAAGATGAGCGATTAATGTGTGCTGATTTGCATCAGTCCAGGAGCTTGCAGGAAACTCAGACATAAAGCATTTGTTTTTCTGTCCCCAAGCCAGTGCCAAGCATGCTCCCCACAGCCCTGCTAACTGGTATTTTTTATTCTGAAAACACCGAGTGAAGAGAGTGAAGAGGGTGTATGCTGGGGGCTCCCAGGCCATCGTAGGGCTGATGACATCTTTTTCTCTTCCTTTCTCTTTTTGTTTTCTATCCCCCTGTCCAAACAGGATATCAGGTGGTTTACAAAAATATATACACTACACCAAGCTTTTGTAAACAGTACTTGAGCAAAGGGAAAATGAGAGCAGGAAAAATAAGATAAGGCCTGGGGTTAGCACAGCACGCCTGCCATGAGGTTGGGAAATCGTGAGGGAGCTCGGAACGTCCTAGCAACAAATCAAAACGGAGACATGGCCAGAGGCGATACAACATTTACAGTGACCAGAAGAGAAATGCATCCTTCAGAAGAAATAGAGACCCTGGTCCTCGCCCTGAGGACAAGTGTGGGGACCCCAGGAGCCAGTGTGGCGTGTCTAGGGCTGGCTCTGACACTGCCTCCATGGTGTGCCCACGACTCAGCACTGGGATCCAGGAAATTCAAGTCTGTCCAAGAGCTGAGGTGGGGGGTGGGGAGGGGCCATAAGGGCCGGCCCTAACACTGTTGGGACTTGGGCCAAGTGTTAGAAATCCCAGGCACGCAGCCCATCCTCCTGGTCCCACTGGCTTCCTCCCACACTCAGGGCTCATGCTCATGCCTGTGGACACCCCAGTTCACATCCCAAGTTTTCCCCCACCCCTCGCAGACACCCCGAGGCTGCCTGCAGCAGTGGTGAGCTCCGCTCTGAAGGACAACCCAGCAGAGGCCAGAGTAAGCATGGGCTGCAGGCTTGGGTCCATTGAGCAGGGAATTGTGGGAGGATGGCCAAGAGGCGGGTACTCTAAAGAGGGAGCCCCATGGGTGCCATGTGGCTAAACAGTGGGCCAGGTATATAACTATGATTTAATCCAAGGAGATTGAAGAGCATCTAGAAAAGGTAAGTGGAATGCCTATCCTCCAGCAAGTGTTTCGCCTTGCATTGCCTGGAGTTGGAAGTTACAGCCTCTGGAAATTTCTGTAGCATACATTCTGTAAGAAAAGGCAGAGCTATTCCTTTCCCATTAACTAAGATGGGGATAAGTTTTGTGCTACTGATTAGGTTTGTGTCGTATTTACTCTGCAAGGTAGAGATGGTGTTATCTTCTCAGCCTAACTCCCTGCTTAAGTCCAAATTGGAAAGGGCAAGCCAAAAAGCAGACATGGGGCCAAGCAGAGGAATGATAGGAAGCTGTTGGGAACAGTGTCTTATGTGTCTCTTTCTAAAATAGAAATAGATAGTTGACGGCAGTGATCATTGAACATCAGAGATGATGTCGGCTGTTAATTAAAACAATCGGTTAAAGGCACATTGCTAATAGCTAACATTTATTATTACGTGCCAGGTACCACTTTAAGGGCATTCACATGTTAACTCAGTGAATCTTTGCAACATCCCAGAATAATTGTTGCCACTGTACAGAGGCACAGAGTTAACAACTGGCTCAGAACAGGCTTTGAAACTGATCCGTTGGGATCCGGTGGCCGTGTTTTTGATCACTGTTATTCTACCATCTATGGGAAAGCTCCCCGTAGAAGGGTGTGGGGAAAGGAGAGGTGGCAAGGGCCAGAGGATAAGGCTGTGCAGGTAGTTAGGCTCAGGAGCAAAACTGTGGACAGACGAGCTTTGCAGAAAAGAGTACATGATCTCATGAAGCCGACTCGAATCAGGAGCTATGTGGCTCTAGGTAAAAAGAAATGAGAGGGCTATAAGACACCCAGCCGTGAGAAAAATGGTTCAGAGAAGGGCAAAAGCTGCAAAGGAAAACAATAATAGTTTGGGTACATTAAATTTTACATACAAGATTTGGGGAAATGGTGTTGATTTGGTGAAAAATTGCAAGTGTCTATATGCACATAAATATTTTTATAAGGATATTGCAAACATGAACAAAATAATGCCTATTGAAAATATTTTGAAAGGCGCAAAGGGACCTAGACATGTAAGTGCCTTGCCATTTCAGGAAGATTTGATGTCAGGAGAGGGCGGTGCTGTTAGGAAGGGGACAGGTAGCTCCTTGCAAAGCTGGACATGCTGTGAGGGGTGTAGAGAGATTTATGGTTTGAATAATTAATTGCATTGAGATTATTTATGTGTCTAGTAGTTTTGACAGCTAAGCTGTGCTGTAGTTACACAAACAGTCCTCATTCCACTAAAGTGCATCCCACAGCACAGAACCACCTGGCAACCTGGGGTGTGATGGGAACGGGCAGAGCGCAGAGGCAGGTGGGCCAGACTCCCGCCTCGATGACCTTGCCCAGGGCCAGCTGTTTTCAGCTTCATCTTGTGACTTGGGAGGCACCAGGAAACCATGATAGTCCCAAATGTGGACCCCCCAGAGAAGAAGGGGCAGCAGGGAACTTACCGATCTGCCGTGACAGCTCCTCAGGGTCAGACCTTCCTCGGAAAAGACTAGATGTGCACTGGGCTTTCCATTTCTGGTGGCTCTTTC